TTTTTCTGAATAACGTGCCTTGTTTGATGGCTTGCTACAGTGTGCAAAATCCTAAATCTTTATCAGAACAGTACAATTCGCAAGATGACTGATTATTTCCACGTAGTCGGAGTTTCGGCGTTGCTTAGCTCTTAACTCCAATTTAATTTAACAAATACCATTCATACGTGTCTTCATCTAATTCGATTTCACTACTCTACCAGTTAACGTTTTTGACTAACTTGGTGAAAATCAATGCTGTAGAGGCATGAAAGTATGTGCGAATAATAACTGTTATTCGTGAGCGAGAGATAAGTCAAAAACTTAATTACGACATATAAAGCTACACAGTTAATACAGGATAAGATATCAATGTTCAACCACTCAAAATATGTTGACAAATGTACAAAGGAATTTTAATTACTTGGATACTCAGAAATAGTAATCTGTTGCTCTGAAATCATTTTAATTCACATCTAAATTTTTGGAATGCAATAGTCTCCAGTTGCATCTTCTATTATTCTGTTCGTTTACTACTCATGTGTTTCATTTCTGTACAAGTCCATTCTTGCTAATTTTAAACATGAACGATACAGAAACGTGCCATTCAGGTTGTGACAACTGTTCCCGTGCACTTTCATGGCCAAAATCGTCAAAGAGTTTAGTCTGCATATAAACTGATTGAAAAATCCCAATATTATGGATTGCGCTTGATCCACCTTCGGAGGAAATTATGTAAAAATCACTGCGAAAACAAGGCTAGCAATGTTGTTCCACGCCATGAAATGATCAAAGATGTTGTCAATGAACTGTTTATACAAACTGAACTTCAAGTTGAGAGATTTTCATGAAATTCAGTCTTGGCCTTCCTCACCAACTCCTTAATCGTTTTATTCAAGATTGATGACAATTTCCTCCGCTATTTCGGTCCAGACTTTTCGAATGCTTGCATCAAAACAGCTTCCTAAGTTTTTGCTTCGGGCAGTTTCCTTCGCCAAGTACTCCTTCCATGTTTCACGGTGTGTTCAGTCAGTGTAGAGTCTCTTTCTCATTCCCTTTTTTAATTCTCTCAGGACTTTCGTATGTCTCCCATTCCATTTTTTATCTTATTCACGTTCCGTTAGATCGGCAGTGTTCCACCTGTGGCGTACGAGTCGTGATCGTTTTTCTACCTTATGTACAGAGTAATTTCGAATATGGCAATTCAGCAGATGCGTTAAGCATGACAATCTTAAAGATCTCATATTATGACAAATTTCTTTATGACATCGAATCATCCACTGTCAAGATGCTGGCTCATCAGATAATCCCTGATGGAAAAGAGAATAACTACTACGCTTTGGAAGCACTAAACCTCTACTTACGCTTTAAACCGATGCCTATCATTGATTAAGTGACGCAGTAATAAGGCAGTTAAACTTATCTACCAATTTTCATGAACATTAATGAACTGTGAACCATTAAACTGATGTGTCTCGAATAGACTGTAGTACCGAACCATAAATCGACCAAGATTCATGTATAATCAACTGTTAAGAATGTTTTTTATGTAACTTCATCATATCACTGGAGCAACCGAATGTTTGCAGGTCTTCTCTCGGGGAACACAATAAAATCACCCTGAATTTTAATCACGAAATGATGCAGCTATGAAGCCACTACAGCACGCTCCTATACATTTCGCCATAAACATAACGGCATTTGTCTATTCACTGCTTATTCATGATGATAATATGATTCTAAAGACGGACAACGTCAGGAGAAACTTCTGACTGAACATGTGGTCCAATTTCAAAATTTTACTTATTATGTGGTCCAACCACTGGATCAAGAAAGACTTCCATTCTAATTACTACTTTCTTCTCCAGTCTGATCAACCGAGGTGAAATTCAGCAACTTTTAGCCCTGTAGTTCTGCATTATGGCATCATCCATGCATGTACCTTCTCAGAAACAAAGAACTTAAAATGGCGACTGAAATCATCATATGCAGCGCGGTATGTAAACAAAAATGTGCAAAAGAGCCATACCGATGGAACCGGTGCCGAAACATATGCGTAAGGAGGATTTATTGCATAGATATTAGTGGCGAAGTGAGTGACTGGTAGAGGGCTTCGGCAGAACGGTTTATAAGGCGGTAAGATTGGAGATGATATCGACCTAAACGTAAAATGGGTGACAGAGAATGTGATTAAAGGATATATCGCAGTGCATACCCTACGGACACTGGACCTGATTCGTACGCCGAAAAACCGAAGGCTGGCTAAAAAAATAACAGCAGTGAATATGTTGCAAACTGAACTGTGTAATGACAAAATTAAATTAAATATTATTTTCTATAGGTGTGGAAAAGTCAATAAAGGAACAACTATATTATACGGATGCATACGGAACAACAGGCAAAGCATAACAACGGAGGCATGAAAGAATAAACCTGAGCAAGAAACCTTATTCACAGACTTGAGGATTATTATGGGTTATTGTGATTTTAAAATTATTCGGTTGCACTATCTAGCCTATCCACAAAATCAAGGCATGTTTTCCTAGACAGGACAGGCTACCGTTTATAACATAAAATATTGTTTTGATCATTTCATACGGTGGCGCGGTAGCATACCCGAAAGGTGAACTTCGAAATTCGCAGGTGACGGGTTTTATTCCAGTGGAGGGCAAACTACCAATTTCCTTGATAAATAAATTTACATCACCTTACTTCCGATCAGGGTTGTTCAGTCGTTGGAGTGACGTGCTCAGAACCGAGAAGCCCCAAGCGCGAACGCCGATCTGGATCAGTTACCTTCCTTCTTTCCAAGGTTCATAAATAAGTACGAAAGTGGAGAAAGGAAACAAACTAGGCGCAATGCTTGTCACACAACTGCTGCAAACTATACGCATAAATTAAGGCATTCCTGACTAATGGGATGAAAATAGTAATCAGTGCCACGGAATAACTTCGTGAAAAGCGCCAGAAATGATCCCATCACGAAAGTGTAACGAAGACTGAAATTCCAACACTTACAGACCTGACACTTTTACTTTTCTTTCTTATGAGCTTTCGGATTAGCTCATGGAAACCGCGGGTTGGTACCATCTTAAAAAGAAAGTTCATGGAAACAACCGCGGTTAACAAAAAAACAAAGCTAAGACTCTAAGGTATGCTGTATATAATAAAGCACGTGGAAAAATTTCTGTGAGAGGCGTTGCCTCTATCCGGTTTTTCACAGATCCTAAGATACATCGACACATTCATGACAATCGAGGAAACAATTTCATATTTCCAAGCTACATTTGATTTATTTCTTTTATCTGGCTCATTTCTTAAACCGCCTTAACTGCTTCCCTCAATGTCTTATCCTCATTCATCTCATTCTGTCAGCATTTTTTAGTGCTGTCCTTAATCTACATTCTATGCTGACCGAAGATTTAAGAGAGTGTCATGTACTTCCTACGGTAATGTATAGCACGTATGGAATACGTCACTCGACAGGGCCATTTGTTACGTCACTTGCGAACGTTCCGGGTGTCACAGCTGATGAGCTGCTGACAAACAGCTTCACAGCAGAATCATAACTCCGCAATGTCGCGGCAAAACTGTTATCAACGATGAACTGACGTCACAGAAACTAACTACTCACGAATTTCACTTTAGCTTTCAAACGATTTCCGCAAATAATTTGACATCTGTGGAAGAAAACAACTTCGAATTTCAATGCTGCCACCGTAATGAACATGTACAGATTCCCGCGTTCCACAAGAGCTGACAACAACAGAAGAATGGGGACACAGTCACAAACTCATGACTTAATACCGTGAAGCATATTCTTCATACCGCAAAGTGACACATGACGTCTAGCTAATGGAAGTAAAGCCCAAAACACCTCTTCACCCCTTAGGAGTAGATATCTAAGTGAAGGCTGAGAAGCTACGAACCTTTTCATTTCCACATGCATTTATCTTATAGATATTGTTGATTGAATCCGTTTACTGCACGTTTTTCATAACATGGGAGAAAGCGCTTTTACCAAAGTATGAAGCCGTTGCCGTTATGACAGTTTTGCTCATAATTTTGTACATATTTCTGTTTGTTTTATTCCTGTTCAAATTACAGTGTTCATTTTGCGGACACTTTTCGTCTGTCTTATCTATTCTGAAAAAGAGCACTGTTTGCTGAGTCCCATTCCTTTCACAAGACGATCAGATAACATCATGTTAATCGGCGCATACGTTCAGTAGAAGCTTTATAATACCGGAGGAGGAAAGTGCCAGCCTCCTTGCAGTGGTACACCTAATGCACGACATCAGCCGTATTCTATATTCATGGAGATTTACGGCACAAATTTCAGCTCTCGTTCGATGGCAACAGTCAGAAGAATATTCCATTTCGATACGGTACTTACATCCATGTAGAAAGCTCCGTGTATCTACCGCATGCCGAGCGACTTACTCGACTGTGATTCAAACAACCAGCAATCTTACTGCTAGATATCCGGCACTCTACTCCTTAAAACACCCTTAGTGTACGGGTAACAGGTGGCTTTAGATTTATCAGTTTAAAAAACTATTGCAAATCCAGCTATTTATCCTGATTTACAGTTACCTCACTGGTAAACGCCACGCTTTCCTGCGAATAACTATGCCGCTTATGCTTCTTGCCACTGTCCGCGAACTTCACCAGCAATGGATCGTGCGTTACTCCTGAAAAGAACACACAAGCGAACAGTGATCGATACGCAACGAGAATAGACACAATATCGAAGTTGGTGCTCTATCAATTGCAGTGCTTCGCCACCTGCCTCTAGGGGATTAAATAAAAGTTCGGTTTAGCTTGAACTCAACCTGAGGTACAAACACAAACTGCTTAGAAGAGACACACTGAACTACGTTTCAAGAATGTGTGAACGCAACCTGTGCGAAGCTAACGAGCCGTCAAACCATTCTGACAGAAACATGGTACCGATTACTTCACAGGGAAGCTGCGAAACTTTTGAACACTTTCTCAGGAGTACTTTAAAAGTACATTCTCGGTATGTAGTATGCAGGGAATCAACCATCATTCAGTTTACATGAAAAGAGAAGGACAAGAAACCAATAAGTTGAAGTGCACCAACTGCGACAGTATCGAGAAGCACGATTACGCGCATGCTTACCGGCTAGTATCTGGCCGTTGAACTGCTGGATGATCTTGTCACAAGTCTCTTTGCCCTCCATACGGGCGAATCCGACACCCCGACTAACGCCGCTCTGGTTGCGGAGGATACGAGTGGATATGACCAAGCCGAACGGGCTAAGCAACGCCTCCAGGTTCTGTTCGGTCCAGTTCAGCGGCAGGTTAGCGATGTACAGATTGGTCGGGTCCTGCTC